AGTAATAATAGCAGATAAACTGTTAGATATTATTTGCAGTTGATAATGAAAAGTAGGTACACACTCGTATGTATTTAAAATATGATAAGGCCACGCGCGGTAAGCCGCGAGCAAAATCTAATGAAATAATGAAATTAAGTTAGAATCTATATTGCCATCTATATACTTACATTTTTAAATATAATAAATAATTGATCAGCATATTGTTAAGATCAACAGTAAAGAATAGTAAGAAGTAGCTGATATCTTATATATCTTATAGAGTTAGTCGCTTAAGACCAACGGTTTCTGAACTTTCCCTGCAATCTTTGTAATATGATAAATGCGAAAGTTTGCGACAGTGTACATACGAGTATGTAGGTTTGGTACTCATTCACGAAAAAACTACTGAATGGCTTATGACGAAACTTAACAGATAGTTGATTCACTACACATATATATACATATTATAAATATAAACACCCATGACTGAAGAAAAACATTCGTGCTCATCACACAAATGAATGCCCCCAGCGGGGCTCGAAACCCGCGACCGCTGGCACGGCAAGTAGAGTCACTAGCAACTGAGCCAAACGAGTCAAATTATAGTAAATATTAAAATTAATAAATATATAGTAATACATAATTCAACAAGTAATTCAGAGTTTGCTGGGACGCTGGAAAACGCTAGCAATGTATACTTTGACCATCGTTATACAGTATGAAATTTGAAGCCTCCGAGAATAAAAAGTGTTTTAAAATTGGTTTACAAGCGTTGAGATATTGCGGGCATAACATATTGTACTCTTTTTCCTTTTTTTAAATCAGTTTCAAACAATATATGATATTCTGAGGTCTATCAAACTAAAATTGTCTCATTTTACTTTATGTATAAATAAATAAATGCTTATGATATTAATCATTATAAGTACTGATTTCATAATTTTATGATTTTCGTATGTAACTTTATCCAACGAAGGCTCTCAAAATAAATTCAATCTAGATGGAATTTTCATATAAACTTGCATTTTCTATTCCAAGAAAATTCTTTCATGGTTCGGGATAAAATTAATCATATGTTACATATTTATATGAATGACATATATATGACATATTATAGGTAAACTATAAACAAAATTATTATTAATTCTCTCTAGTAGTTTTTAAGAGATTGAGGTATTCCAGTACAGCTATATTATAGAGCAGATACAAGATATAGATTGAACGTAACTATACTATACGGTTACAAAAAATCGAATATATTTAATTGCTATTGTTGACTCTATATGTTTTAGGTACTTTTTATATGTATCAATGTGAAATATACCTAAATTTAATAAAGGACGAACATCTTTCTTAATTTTTTATTCCTGTAATCTTACTAAGCTCGGTAAGTGTTATAAAATATGCAAAGTCACGAACAGATCAAAACACGCAACGTTCTAATATATAGATTGCGATATAACATCTAGTCGTTACTCGTGGATACCATCTGCTCAATTCAATAATTATTTTATATAATATTCTTTTTAGCAATATAATAGAGTCGTACAAATAATACGGAGATTTGAGAAGTATACGGACAGAATATAATCTATACATATAATAAAATTGTTACTAAGCCGTATCTGTACATTAAATATTTTTTTAAACCTTATTGAAATAAACATTATTATCGATACAGAGGCCGAATCAATAGTTTTTATAATTTTTGTCTGTCTGTTACCGCATCACAGAAAAACCACTGGAGGGATTTTGATGAATTTTGGTATAGTGATAGCTGGTTATCCGGGTCAATATATAGGATACTTTTTACCGCGAGAAAATTTCACATTTCTGAGAAAATAATACAAAAACTGCAATGTAAGAGTATACTAATATGTAAAACCTAAGAATTTGGTTTTTGGTCATCTAAACGGAGCAATGCTATTATTATATAATATCATTTATCAGACAAAAACAACGGTTACCATGGCAACAATTATTCATAATAGCATGTAATGTATTCTATCTCAATCTCTCGCCGGCTTAATCCTATATATTTACGTGTTTGTCTTTTTCTCGTGTCGCATTTTCGTTGAATTGAGTTTCAAATCACAACGATTCTAAACAAGCTTCACTTCAAAAAAAAATGTTCAATACTTTAAAATATAGTAATAATTAAGTTCAAATTTGATGTAATCTATACTTAATAAAGTAAAAGGTAGGTAAAGTTTGTGACGTTGTAGGGGGTAATCTCTGGATCTACTTAACCAATTTAGATGAAAATTGGTAAGAAGATAGTTTGAGACCCTTTTTTTTTATGTCGGGAAATGCATTTACGCATACCACCTGATCCCCCAGGTGGTGATGTGGGGCTCACCGGCTAGAAGAGCCGGTACTACCCACTAAAACCCGACATTCCCCTCCCCTCCGCCTTAATGGGACGCCGCAGGATCGCGGCAACGACACACCGACACTCCTCTTCCCCTGCAGCCCCACCATCAAACGGTGGCGGCCCCGTCTAGGCCGCGGAAGGTAGGGAGAACGGCGCACCGAAATACCGGCACTCCTCTCCCGCCGCGGCCTACCCCTCCGCCGGATGCGGGCCTGCGACCACAGTCCCGCAACCGGCACCCATCATCTGGTTGTGGGACCAAGCGGTCCCACCACCGGTGGCCGCAACGTCTTCGGCTCGAGGCTTAGACGAGCGGCCCCATCCAAGCCATTTGGTCCGCGCCGGATTTCTCCGGTACCACCCGCCGCCCTAAGCGGGTGGCATTCCCCTATCCGCCACCTGGGGACGCGCCCGGTAGGAGTTGGCTTCTCCCCCGGGATAGTTTGAGACCCTGGAAAAGACATAGTATACTTTTTATTTCTGAAATCATCCCTTAAGGGGTGAAAATGGGGATGAATGTTTGTATGGGGAATCATGCTAGGGACGAATCCGAGCGAAACGAGGGTGAGTCGCTAGTTTTTCATATTTTCATTTTCATTTACTCTACATTTCTAAAAACTAGAAATCAGATATCATATTCAAAGATAAGACAGTCCATTTTGCTTGTACATGGCTGAGTGAAAGGCAATATAATTAGATAAATTAAATAAAGAGTATAACATACTTATTTCTAAATATGCTTAAAGCTCATATTTTATCCTTCAATTAAACGCCAAAGGAACTTATACAATATTCAAGAATTCTTACAAATAACGCTGATCTTCTTTTTGTGTCCCTAAAATACTTTCATTCTGAGCGTTATTATATGTATTAAAATGTTATACTGAAAGATAAATTCATAACATATTGCTTTTAGTATTATGAGATTGAATCTTTTGGTACAAATCAATTGTACTTTTGAAAATAAATTGAACATAATTTTTTTGATATAGGTATCTTTATATATAATGAAATTGTAACCAAGCAGAATCTGTATATCAAATATTTCTTGGAAAATCGTATTGAAATAAACATTATTATTGATACAGAGGCCGAATCTATACTTTGTAGAATTTTTGTCTGTCTGTCTGTTACCACATCACAGAAAAACCACTGGAGGGATTTTGATGTAAAAATTCGGTATAGTGATAGCTGGTTATCCGGGTCAATATATAGGATGCTTTTTACCGCGGAAAATATCTCATTTCTGAGAAAAAAACACAAAAACTGCAATGTAAGAGTATACTAATATGTAAAACCTAAGAATTTGGTTTTTGGTCATCTAAACGTGTGCGGAGCCGCGCGCAGTACTAGTCAAATATAAATGTCAACATACAAACGCTATATTGAATGTGAGGCAAAGTGAATGGAGTGTTTTTTTTAAATGTACATACATTATAATATTTTAATTATTCTGTTACGTCGTAACGCATAAAATCTACTGTAAATAATACTGTAAAAAATAAGGGGACAATAATGGAATGAGCTGCCAAGCTGTTTATTTGCCTTAGTTTCAATAAGCCTTTTGTACGCCTTAAAATACAAATTCAGCATTTTAGAAAAACAAGAAATACCTACCCTGTAAATTATCATGATAATGGTCAAAATCGCCGAAGTTTAGATTATTTCATAATTTATTATAACAATTTTAAAAATCTATATATTATTAAATTTGAGGTATTTCTATTTAGTGAACGTAACGCGATATTTTTATTAGTTCTAAACCCATTATCATCAATCTTTATTTATCCATTTATTTCAAATCACTCAGTTACGTTTACTTAAAAAGTAACTAATTATTTATCTTTTCTTCTTCTAACTATTTATTAACGTTTATTTGTGAATATCGTAATAAAGTAATTATCACGGTAATTATATATCCCTCCGATGTATAATGATGTTCATCTTGTCTTGGTGGGGATCTCATTAGCATCCGGCAATCCAAACGGACGATACACTGAACACTCAACCCAAGAGACACACTGGGAGGCGGCACATCTCGGTGGACGATGTACTATACGGGTTGCTCTTGCTACTTTCTATAAGCAGCGTGTACCGTGGGAGCAACCCCTTGGTTGTAGTCTGCTTCGTCGGGCCAGCCGTCTGGGCTAGTCCGGTAGTACTGACTTTTTATTAATAATAATATTTCAAAATTAAAAGTAATTGTAATATCCTCATCTCAATTACAATCAAATCCAAAAAATATTCCAATCAAAAAATATTTATAATCAGAATTACTTGAAACTTGTTATTAAATATTTTTCAATAAAATTAAATAATACGTGTTTTAGCATTTTTCGAAATTCATTTTATATGGGGGTAAAATAGAGGATGAAAAGTTTGTATGGAACTACCTTTTTAGATATTTTTTTTGTAGTTTTAGCGCAACCGAAGCCGCGGGTTTTGCTAGTTGATCATATGTACATGACGGTAATTGTTTGGCTTTGAATGATTATCATATTATATTAGAATTTAAAAACATTAATCTATTTTTCACTTTAGGCTTAAAACATGCTTTGAACAGTGCCTGAATAGATTTTTTATCTATAATTCTAGATTCCAATCTACCTACGGCAGTTCATTATGTAACTTGAAGAGTACTTACAACGTCAATGATGTGATGCAGCGAAACGCCGAAGGTCACGAGCAGAGGGTGAGAAGAGTTCTCTACAGGCCTCACCGACGCGTCATACTTGTCCATCAGGTGCCGAATTAACTGATATTCTTCGTCACAACACCAAAATCCTGTTGGAAAAACAATATTTTTTATTACATAGCCTTAATAGTTCAGTAATACCATTATACACACCCACACAACTTCACTTTATATAACTTCCTGGTAGGCGAGAGAAAATAATAACTATTATTATAATTTACCGACCATACCACATCGCACCGAGGGTCAATATCAAATCAAACATTGTGCTATGTTTTGATCCCTCCAGGTAAATTTCTAAGAAATTAATTAAATTTTTATGAAACCTATTATTAACTGTAACGCCGGCGTGTCCGCGGTCGTGGAGGGATTAAATTACTTTATCTGTTAGTGTGAAACCGAAAATATCTACCACCACGTAAACTGCCCAATGTATCTTCTTTAAAATGATTTTCGTTAAAAATATTTTACACAATTTTTTTACGAATTTAGAAGCATATAACGCAACTATAAATGAAGCTGCGGAAACTTAAAAACCATAGGAATCTCATAAATCTGTACTCAAAATTTGATTTAGTAAATAATTCTTTGACAAACGCTCTATTTTTTTCAAAAAACTCTAGTGCTTCCTCCGGACTTTCCTTTCCGGTTAACCAAATTTAATCATTTTGCTCTTTGATACAATATTACATAATAATAATCCTAAATTATTAAATAACACAATTTCAATTAAAAACAAATTATTAAATTTCGTTAAAAGCTTCGTTCGACTTAGAAAAAGGCAAAAATAGTGTTAGGAATATTCAACAAAAAAATCAAACAAATACCTTCACATCTAGTATATATAACAAAGTAGAAGCGGATATCCTTGTCTTTAACTAAAACCGGTCGTTAGATCCTATTTCCGAGGAGGGAGTACTTTGAGATTATGAATTAATGCCCCGGTTTTATTTGTGGTTTTATAAACGTAGGAATACCGCAACAATCCCTATTAATTTTTTTCTAATTATGTTGGAAAAAAAATAATCATTCATATAATAATGTAAATTTGAGGCCATAAAGAGATTTGGTTTCCTATAAACTACAAGCTCGATATTCTACTTTTTCGAAACTCTGGATTCAATGGTTTGACCGAGACCTTCAACTTTGAACCGTGACTATTAAGAAAAAAAGTATTAGGACCATTTTAGTAAATAATTTTATAATCAACAATTTTTTCTGGGATATATTCTCGATAAGACTTACCGTTTTCGAGAAAGATAAAAAAAACGCAAATTTTGACCTTTGACCTTGACTTTTGTAGCACACATCGAAGGGGACTTTTGACACTTTATTTCTACAGGTGTACCCAAAGTCTCTAGCAAAATTCAGCTATGTCGGAGTTTTTGTTATTTGATCACTATTTTTATGTTTAACTAGCATTGCCCGCGGCTCCGCCTGCGTTCAAATGAGAAAAACCTAATTCTTAGGTTTTACATATTAGTATACTCTTACATTGCAGTTTTTGTTTTTTTTTCTCAGAAATGAAATATTTTTCCGCGGTAAAAAGTATCCTATATGTTGACCCGGATAATCAGCTATCATCATACCAAATTTCATCAAAATCCCTCCAGTGGTTTTCTCGTGATGCGGTAACAGACAGACAGACAGACAGACAGACAGACAGACAGACAGACAGACAGACAGACAGACAGACAAAAATCTAAAAACTATAGATTCGGCCTCTGTATCGATAATAATATCTATGTCAATTAGATTTTCCAAAAAATATTTAATGTACAGATTTGTCAGTTACAATTTTATTATATGTATAGATTTGACCGGACTATTCTTATAAAGAAGTCAAGGTGGCAATTAAAAGTAACATGTTACGAAGCATGTTGGTACACATATTTCTGCTTTCAGAGATTTGTTTTAGTGGAAAACCTTAAAGTAAAAATGGTGTTACAAAAAATTATTCAGCTTTAACCCTTTTCATCAAGCGAACTTTTTATTTTTTCAAATTCACGTTTCTTACGAGCATAGAAAATATTTTGTAAAGAAATTATTTTCAATGTGATTACTGACTACTAGATGAAGGTAAAGGTTTTAACTTTTTCCATTCCTAATTAAAAATATGTAAAAGTATTAGTATTATAAACTATTACAGTTTTTACAACAATAGTCCTATATGATGATTCCTGTTATTTCCTTAATTTGTTAATTTTTATTGTGATATCTAGTTTAGTTCAAAGGACATAGGCTGACGAACGAACAGATAACACAGGCTTATAGCCATGACCGTCAACGCTACTAACATTATATATATAAAAAAACATTTTAATTTTGATTATAAATGTTCCTCAAGAATAAGACGAAATTATTAAAACATTTCAATCAGATTAAAGTGTAGCAATATTTAGTAATGTCAAAAATAAACAGTAAACTTAATTTACTTCACATTTCTGTTATTACTGAGATTTTATATAAATTAAAGACCCTTTTAAAATAATTGAATGTTATTTTTGTTGCTTTTGCTTTCATTTCAATAATGTTTTATGTGACATCTATACATATAATAAAATTCTAACTGAGTCGAATCTGTACATTAAATATTTTTTGGAAAATTTTATTGAAATAGTCATTATTATCGATACAGAGGCCGAATCTATAGTTTTTAGAACTTTTGTCTATTTATCTGTCTGTCTGTCTGGGAGCGCATCGCAAGAAAACCACTAGACAGATTTTAATGAAATTTGGTATGAAGATAGCTGGTTATCCGGGTCAACTTAAAGGATACTTTTTACTGCGGAAAAATGTCTCTTCTATGAGAAATCTATAATAAACGTCAAAACGTAACCAGGGACGATCCCGAGTGGAGCGAGGGTGAGTTGCTAGTATACATAATATATACATATATACAGCCTGTATCGAAATAACGAAAAATGAATCCAGGAATATTTCTTAATCCATCGGTCTTTGCGTCACAATTGAGTACTTTTTCAAGTCATCTTCAAATCTACAATTTGAAAAAGACAAAGAGTACCGTAATTGGAGTTGATAGTGATAAAATATCCCTGTCTAAGGCCAACTTTTCAAATCAGCAAAAATCCTTTCCTTCTAGTAAATAAAACTTTTGGTATATAAGTTGCCGTTCACTTCATTTATATAAAACGATTTTTGTTTATATATCGTACGTATTATGTACGTACGTACATACTTATTCTCGTTATAGCGTGTGGAGTCATATATATATATATATATATATATATATATATATATATATATATATATATATCCTAAAAATAACCGTCATTTTTAACTCTATATTGTATGTCAATAAACTTTCGCATTTATTAATGACTAGCAGGACCCGCGGCTTCGCTCGCGCTAAAACTACCAAAAAAAACTCTAAAAAAGTAGGTTTCATACAAACTTTCTTCCCCATTTTACCCCCTTATAGGATCAATTTCGAAAAATCCTAAAACACGTATTTATTTCATTGTATTAAAGAGTATTAATACCAAGTTTCACGTAATTCTGATCATAAATATTTTTTGGTAGTATTATAAAGATACGAATACACTTTCACATTTATACTTTTACTTTTTACCGCGGGAGATAATCTCATTCCCATGGGAAAACACGTTATAATACAACCAAAAATTATTTATGATGAGAAAGACTTGAAACTTGGTATTAATGCTCTTCAATACAATTAAATAAATGCGTGTTTTAGCATTTTTCGAAATTCATCCCATAAGAGGGTAAAATAGGGGATGAAAGTTTATATGAAACCTACTTCTTAGTTTTTTTGTAGTTTTAGCGTGGGCGAAGCCGCGGGTCCTGCTAGTTATAATATAATAACAACTACAGATTTAACAAACTGACATTTAAATACAAAATATGACAGTGACAAGAGGTTAATCTCTCATCGGTAATTTAAGCTGCCATTAATATTACGGGCATTGGTGATGATGAAATTCTTTATTCCGATCGTTAATAAACCTCACTTGTTTATATAAAATAGAGCTAGCAGAAATTTTTTATTTCTTCGGTATTTCTTTCTAAATTTTAAGTTGTTATGTAAAGTAATATTTCATAGATTTACGCGAATATTTGACATCTATACATATAATAAAATTGTTACTAAGCCGAATCTGTACATTAAATATTTTTTGGAAAATCTTATTGAAATAAACATTATTATCGATACAGACGCCGAATCTATAGTTTGTAGAATTTTTGTCTGTCTGTCTGTCTGTTACCGCATCACAGAAAAACTACTGGAGGGATTTTGATGAAACTTGGTATGATGATAGCTGATTATCCAGGTCAACACATAGTATACTTTTTATCGCGGGAAAATATCTCATTTCTGAGAAAAAATACAAAAACTGCAATGTAAGAGTATACTAATATGTAAAACCTAAGAATGTGGTTTTTGGTCATCAAAACGCTGGCGGAGCCGCGGGTAATGCTAGCAGTATTAATAAAGAGTAATTTATTTCCTTAAGTGATACTCCTTTACATTATAGCATAAAATTAAAGAAATGGTAGAGACAAAATAAAAGTAAAGTTTGACACATCTTCCGTATTATTCACCATGGTTTATTAAGAGTATTCGAGAATACCTAATTATGACAAAGTGGTACCATCTTCAAGTAATACGGAGCTGAGATTCTTTAATTAAATTTTATATTTCAGTTTTGCCTATTTTTCAGACTACGGTAATTTTTATACATTTTTAGGATTCCGAACACAAATGGCTACTAATATTTATTATTTCTCCGTCCGTATATGTTTAAAATACATAAGAATATCTTTAATATCATTATATATATATATATATATATATATATATATATATATATATATATATATATATATATATATATATGTTTCATTAATATTTTATATATATATGTATATATAAAAGCTTGTTTTAATTAGACCTATATTATATAAAAAGATGACGTTTAAACTATCTACATATAAAATACCTTTTTTAGGACCCGATGTAGTATTTATTCTACTCCTTTAGTTTCTATTATTCAAGCTTATAAAAGCTTTTTAAAAACGATACCATACAATAGTATCATATTCGATC